AACGAAACGTTTAGGTTTGGCCCTTAACCGAGAACGAGAGCAGAGCATATCAAACACATGTACTGTAGGAACTTTTTGTCGCCAAAATACGTTTTCGTTCTACTGTAACTCGCCAGTCTGTTACAGCAACTTATACCGGCATCGTACGTAGAGTTCATTGTGTTTCTACATAATTATATCAGATACGGCCAGATACTAGTTGCGCTTTACGCACTATTTAACTAGGTAAATAATTAAATATGTATAAAACTTAGGCAACTGAAAGAAAAGCCCATGGCAGATACTAAACGCCTCTCGTCCCAATGCCATTGATCTCATTGTGCCGATTTGTGCGTAAAAGTGGCAAAAAAGTGGAAGTCGGCCAGGCCGCAGTAAGTCCGCACACGGTTCAGAAATTTGAAAAATAAACCGACAAAACCCTGTGCAACTGGGACACAGTCGGTGCGCAATTACAATGTCATCATTAAGTGCGAACAGAGTATCGCGTGTTTTGCGCATTTTGCGTTGCGCAGTAGCATCAAGCCATTTACTTTTATTCGACAGACATTGTATTGTCTTGTCTTCTAGTCGCTAACATAATTGAGAGTCCATTATTAACGCCTGCACTGCATCGATTTATTTACACGCGTCATCCAAAGGTAAATTAATTTGACAACCAAACTCATTTGCAGTATTACTGCGCCCGCTTCAGGACTGACAACTACAAACACACTGGTTGTGTTTACCAAACAGCACCTCTTTGCACCTCTTTGAATTTCTTGTGGCCATGTTGCTCAGTAAAATTATACTAAGAACAGTTCAGCGGCCATAACACAAAGCGTTTAGTCGAAACTGAAATAACGGTAGCCGAGACTAAAAGGCGTATAAGCAAATATAAGCAAGACTAACGATATAGTTTATTAGAAGAAAAATGACAATGATATAATTTATTGAATTAAAAAATATTAAATATTAATACTGTACTGGTATATTTGAATTTACTTAATTACGCTTACAGACAACTCCAAGAAGGAAACATCCTGCGCAAGATAAATAAAAGATAAAGTTATCGTTGGGTACGCCGTGCTGATTTTTGTCATTCCGTTTGTCGTTATCTGCAACCTGCGGAGAAGAATCCTGCCCATAATTGACGTTAAACTCATTCTGCCTCGGGGTTGTCGAGGGACCAGGTCCGAGAGGAACCGCATCTTTAACGAAGATGGATTCCAAACTTGGAGTCCAAATAACTTCGTCTAGAGCTTTAATATGCGCGAGCAGCTCTGCTCGATAATGAGCACAAGTACTGCAGTCCGTATTTGTGCAAGATTTACAGGAAGCCAGTAACGCTGAAATAAACAGATTCAGGCTCTGCAGGGGCGCCATATTGTATGAAGCACTGAACACCGAAGAAACAGTTCAATCAAACACTAAACCTACCACGTCCCATCGCGCCGCCGTGTGCTGCCTTTATATATCGGAGACACAAGACTGCACCCCCGCAGTCTTACGTTGCAGGTACTGCACTGTAGGTACCATAGAGAGACATACGAAGGTTGTCATCACGTCATCGCATTATATAACAACACGCAAATTTCGTGTTCATAATCCCATCTTGCCAAAGAGTTGTGGCCGTGATAATGTGATGTGATGAAATTATGCGACTGGGAAGTGATGGGATGACCTCCAATTGAAATCGATGACAATTACGTGTTTTAGTGCCACAATTAACTGTGCTTCAGCGATGCCGCATAATTTTTGCGCCCTTCATCCTTCTAAATCACAAGAACGGTGTGGGGAGAATTTATTTGTTAGGCCATTGAGCATTCTGGCAATAACGATACGCTGCGCCGCTTACACCACATAGTCCATTTGATTTGGTTAATAATGCATTTCTCAATTGTAAATTGTAACAGCTTTTTCTATAATATTTATATTTTGTGAAAACAACAAGATAAAATTTGAAAATAAAATTCACTTTATTTCGTCCCACCAGTCTGGTGGGACGAAAATAAAGTGGACACCAGTCACATCAATTACTACGTTCAAATTCCTGTTACATCGCATTTCAAAATCAGGGATTACAGCCTAAAATTATGCATGTACGTTTTCGTTGCTTTTATTTTAAAAAGAATCAAATGATTATTGAAAGACACTGCTCCTGTGGCCTGTTTAGTGAGTCGTAGAAATTTTAAATCACAAACCTGCATGTTTTAAAAGATTTTGTTATTTCGTTTTTATGACCATTCGCTTTTATTATGCTATCGTCATGCTACAAAGAAGATTGTAAAACTACATAATTACAAAGCTTTCTGAGGTGCAGAGGCATGTACAGTACAAGTAGAATGTACAAAGTACAGTACAAGTAACTCGGTTCTGTGTGGTTAATAAAGGTAAAGCCTGTCGGAACGGTGTGATTTGCAACGGTAAAGGTCAAGACGAAGGTGTTCACCGGCAGGCAAAGCTTGAATTACTGAAAGCAAAGGTAAAGTAAAGTAGGCTGATTCATCGCAGCTAACGGAATGAAATCTGCATGCAAGGGTCAGTCAGTGCTTTGCTTTGCTTTGTTTGTCTGTGCCCTTTCAGTGTGTATTTTTAAAATTAATTTCACCACCGCAAGTTGCTGCGTTATTAGTAACGCTATTCACATCAAAAACAGGGAAGTTCTACCAGCAAACTGTTTTGTTAAAATTCCTGCGGGGCTACCATTTGACAAATGCTATTTGTAGAAATCTGCAAAGTTTGAATTGCACACACATCGTTATGAGCGTGGTGAACTTCTCATCATCCAACATTATTTTAATGCAAGGGGCTCAAGCGCGGTCGGGACTCAGGTGCAACCATGCAGGGTGAGTTCATAAGACTGCATATTGGTGCGGCGAATGCTTTCTTTTCCGCTACGTCTTGACGACGTTGCAGCAGTCTGCTGCGGTGACAATTAAAGCGGATGAATGTTGTCTGAGCGGTTCCGTATTTGTATGTTGTACTGTTTGGTCTGGCCAGCTTTAAGCCCTGAGGGTGGCAACCGAAAACACAAAATTACTGTGCGGCCACTCAGGCCAGATCGTAGGCTTCTTTTATTAAAAATCCGTTACCAACGAAATAATCAAAACTCAAATCATTTTTGGAAACAGCATAGCCTACACTCATGGACAGGCAACTTTTATCTCTGTGCCCAACCCGATTGCGCAGGAACGGGTAACGGTAACCGAGCAGAACAGCGGCCCGCGCTGAAGCGCTGAGTCTGAGTCTGACCCCTAAAAGGCTGAGTCTGAGTACTAAAAGGCTGAGTCTGACTAATAAAATGCTGAGTGTTCATAAAACTGCAAAAGTAATATCTCGATAACTTTAACTCTTGACCGGAAATGTGCTTGACCGGGTCCGCGAATCCCCGTATTACATGCAACGCAAGTAAGTAATGTACAAGTACTACTGCAAAATTTGATTGGCAACAACTCATTCGGGATCAAATAAGGGACGTGCACCGTACGTTTTTACGAGTATAACTTGCAGCAACCCGAACATTGCAAAGAACAAAAGAATTAGCCATAATTGTAGCCACTATTAGACATTTCCGGCCAAAATAAAATTAAATTTATTTTAATTATGACTGTAAATACCATGTATAACTATAAAATGCTGAAAACTTCACGTCTGAGTCGATTCCAAACTTCACGTTAATGCCGAACCATTGACCAAGGTCACAAAGAGGAAGGAACAAATAGAGGACGGAATGTTTTTTGGGTAAAAAGAGGAAAACAATTTCGGTGGTAAAAAAAGGAAGGAAATTTTCCCGGCCAAAATGGCATTAGATTTCTGATGGTCCAAAACAAGAGGAAAATGCGCTTAAAAATTTAAAGTTTTGTAGTGGCACAGGCACTTGATGGTCTGTACGTTTTAAAAACAAAAGTAAATGAAGTAAGTAATGCAATAATTGCAACTGCAATAAGCGTTACAGCTAAACACATTTGTCGAAGAAAAGTATCTGTAATTACCCGTGCACTTAGTGTGCTATGAATATCGTGAGAAAAAATAACCTGGAGTAAGTATTAAAGAAATGCGATTTGATGTGCTGCATTATGCAGAGCATAAAAAGATTGAAGTTTGAACGTCGTGAAAGACCAGATGTTGCACGCCATTGATGCATCACATATTTCCATCGAGTGGGCTGGCTATTCGGAAAGCGCCGAAGAAAATGAATGATTACTGCTCTTTACCGCTTAATCGTTAAATTTTAATACAATCGGTACATCTTCAAATTACTGTAAGTTATTACCGTGAAAAGTTGCCGGTCCCAGTTCAGTTCATCACACGAGTATTTACTAAGCTCACAGCTTATTTTAATTTATTAGGTACACCGTTCGCCAGTTAATTAGACAAATGCTGATACTAAATAATTAATTAATTAAATAATTATTTAGCTAACTAGTAATTATGTTTACCCCTATCATGTGACGCATGATAACAGAAACAAAAAGTTCGCTTGGTTAATTCTTTCTTTTCACCATTCGTGTTGCTGCAGTTACACTAGTACGAGTACAAACGTCCCGTATTCGATTACCGCATGGGTTGCTGCCAAATAAAATCTTGCAGTTGTACATTGCTTTGTTTTAGCGTTACTTGTATCTTGTAATATGGGGATTCGCTGGACCATATGGTGCATATTTCCGGTCAAGAGTTAAAGTTATTGAGATATTACTTTAGCAGTCTTATGAACACTCAGCATTCTAATAGTCAGACTCAGCCTTTTAGTACTAAGACTAAGCCTTTCAGTAGTCAGACTCAGCCTTTTAGGGGTCAGACTCAGACTCAGACTCAGCGCGGGCCGCTGAAAAGTGGATGTACAGTTGGTCTGTTGGCTGCAGTCTGCTTCGTGTGCAATGGCTTACGTGGTATGTAGTATGTACTTAATAGACTGCCTTTTTGAGTAAGTCGTACTATACAGTACAAACAGCAATTGGAAACCAGTATAGTCGTACCGGTATTCAAACCAACAGGCTTAGGTCAGTAGACTCAGCACTTTTGTTAAAAACTGCTGTCAGCAGTGCCAGTATACTGTAGATTTCCGATATCCATGAGTCAAGCAATTACCATGGCAGTTAACTGTAAATATAGATTCATTTGAAAGGTAAACACCACACACGAAGCACGAAATGACAACTAACAGACCAGTAACAAGGCAGAGTGACAAACCAAACATGCTCTTCAAAGCTTAAGCTCAGGAAAAACGCTATCATTACAGAAACAAATCACACCCTTCTAGTCCTTTTATAACGTTTCCGCCGCGCAGCACAAATGTCAGTTATTCACAATTAGATAGGCTTCTTGAACTACCCATTCGTGAAAGACGTCATCAACTCTAAACCAGCACTGATAGCGCCCAGCATGTCTGGCCTCCACGCGAGAGATTTTCAAGGTCGAGTGGCAGTGACACTTTCGATCCGTTGCGATGTGAATATCTGCATTCAAGTTGGCCAGTGAAGAGCTCCCGGTTTGAAATTCCTTAAACCCTTTGGCATAAATCACATGATCATCGTTTCTCCAGAGAAAGCGATCTCCGAAGTCGCCCGGCATGGCCAGAAATTTTACGTAACATGGAAAACGGGCGGTGCCACCCACTCTGACAGTCACGTTGGGCATCGGTGGCCTAAAAATTTGAGACGCCGTGATCGTCGGACTGACGAAAAATGTTTGGGTGGTCAGAAAGTCGCTGCCGTTGTACTGTACACATTCGTATTTCCCGGCATGGGCATGGGAAAACTCCCGTAAATCAGTAATCAGTTCTCCCGTAACTGGGTTACTTTCGATAAGGCTATAATTGCTATGAATTCGCGCAGCTGCCGACTCAACGAGGCAGCTGCATCGGTGCATCTCGAACGACCTGCTCTCTGATTTCGAGACGAACAATCGTCTTCCATTTAACCAGAGCTGCGGTCTTTCCTCTTGTCCCGCCGGCACCGGCTTACCGCCTTTGCAATGTATTCTCGCTGTTCTTCCCTCCGGTGCCCTAATAATGCTATCTGCTGGCCGAATCTCCACTGGATCACTGATTGAAGATTGTTTCAAATGGACAATATCATTCTTTGCGCTGCGGATTGCTTCGTCCAAGTGTCCATTAACTAATAAAACCAATGCAAGATTAAAGATTTGCGCACCTTTTTTTGTGGCATATGTACTGTGTTTCTTTTTGTGGCATTTCTTTCAAGCGTTTGTTTTTCTTTACAAACTGACTTGCGATGGCAAATCTGGCCGCTAAAGGGTATCGAACGATACGTAGACATGAAAGTTTGGTTCAGTGTATCGGACTAGTGAACTCGACAGAGTAAGAAGTTCGTAAAGGTTTACGCGGTTATTATAATTATAGTGAAGTGATGGTGATACTTGTACTCCTTATACATTTTTAAACAACAGACAAATCCTTTCCTTTTTCCGCGATACCCAAATAACCACGAAAAAACTAATCCCAATAAACTGCCGATAACGATAGTTACGGCGGAATGCTTTAAACCCTCACGTAAATCCCGGATCGATACCGAGTAATTCACAGTCTTATGTTCGTCCACTGACCAGTTAGTGCAAGCTATGAAGGTAGTATCCACTACTGTATCTAAAAAAACGGCGACCTGCTCACTCGTTTGTCAGTGCAAAAGATCATGAAGGCGGCTGGTCACCTGCGTTGTAAATGTTGAGTATAGAATTCAAGTTCAATACACGCTGAATTTTCCGACTAGGGATTGCTACTGAGCTATAGCATCTAGGCCACCCTTGTACTTGATGCTGTTAGCAGGCTGGAATATAAAATATAGCCCGGGGCCGGGGAATTTAACTGCGGAGGCCAGCACCCCTGTACTTGTTGCCGTCACCCGCCTGGAGTGTGACCTTACAGCAATACATACGGTTAAACCAGGCGCGGTACATAAGCACCATGTTTAGCCACAACGTAAAACTCCAGCCGGCTGACGGCAGCAAGTACAGGGAGTGCTGGCCTTAGCAGTTGAATTCCCCTTATATAACGTTGTGGCGATACATGGTGCAGTGGTGCATATCATTCTGTCGTGCCAGATTTAGCCAGTAGTGTGTCGCAGGGTCGTTCTCGGCGCCATATACAGTAAAACCTGTGACTTTGAACACTCGCGTAAATTGAACACTGGTGTACATTGAACGGTCATTACGGAACCGGCGCGTCTCGTAGACTATAACACAGGGGGGACCTCGCGTATATTGAACATCTCTCTAAAGTGTGAACATTGAACAAATTAGCTGGAACGAAGCTAATTATTTACTAATATTTAGCCCTTTCGAAAATGAACAAAGCGCCAGAATCTGGTTTTGGGAGCGAAAAAACACAAGAAAAGCGGTCAACGGACCAGAGTTCACTAGCCATTCGCTTGTTCCAACTTTAACACCACACGATTTTTGATTTGTTGAACGAAATTGAGCGAAAAAGCTGGAACCGCAGGTGTTCAATGTACGCAGGTTTTACTGTACTGGGATTGCTCAGAAGCACTACTGACATCCCGTCGTATTTCTCGTATGTGTATAAAATTACAAATTCACCAGAAACCAATGCAAAAGGATGAAACAGGTTTAGGTATATGCACTGAGACAGCTGTAAAGATACTTATGGCAGAAATAAACTACGAAAATAAAAGTTTTTTGAGAAAATTACGAACGGACTTATAATTCCCGCTTCTCTAAGATTTAGTCTTTTGGCCGCAAATGTGACTATCACTCTTTCTTCGCTGCATTCAACGGAAACGCTATTCAGTGAACTGAGTGAAGGAGACTTCCGAGAGTATCATGCAGTACGTACAGTCACACCGTTATATTTGTGCCGTCTTTCAGTGCACAATGTAAAAAATTTCAGTGAATGTTAAAATCTCGTTACATTATACTGTACTAGCAGACCCCGCGCAAACTGCGCGGAAGAGATTTAATGAACTACTGTATAACAGTGTATACATATACTATATAAGTGGTATAACTTACCTTACCTACTTACTACAGACTACTTGCGTCACTGAAAAGACTATTTTCTAACTGATTTCTAAGCGTATTCAGGGATGCTTCTATACTTAATTTTTACAATAAATACGTATGACGCTTAATTCGGATTAAATGATGTTCTGTCCAAACTGCATGTTTACATTTAAAATGTACAGTACCATAATAACATTAATTTTCATGCACTCCAGTAAAAGCTGTTACTCTACCCGCCATACCCGGTGCCATAGTTCATGATAGCTGTAAGTACTACGGCGCGACTCAAGTTTACGTAACGTTTTTCGCACAATTTTTTACCTCTACCACCTTGTTGAAAAACGCTAGAGTAACCGATTTGTTACAACCCTATATCCCGCAAACGTAGCACAAAGCCCAACCTCACCTTATAAAATTAAATTTTAATTATTTTATTTAAATTTAATTTTTTTATTGTTTTCTATGGTGTCGGCCTGTCCCGTATGAAACGTCTTCCGATTCCCATCCCTTGTAACAAAAATTGCTAACAGCCCAACCGCCCCCGCCCTTTTAAGTTACGTAATATTTAAATCGCGGCAATGCCTGTTTTCTATAAATTGCATAAGCAGATTGCACGTTATATTCTGGACCACGTCGGACACTCGGACTTGTATTCTTATTCATTCTTTTTTTACCCAGAAACTGGACGTTTCGCTTGCTGCTCCGCGAGCTCCGCTCGCGCCGCAGCTCGGCGTCGCCTGCGGCTCCGCCTTCGGTTAATTGTCTACAAATTCTCAACTGTGCTTTCTAAATCTTTAGCCTTTACGTACTTAACTAAATAAAGTCATTAAATTTGAACAAACGATAAGAATGCGAAGTGTGAGAGATAGAACTTCGTTCACGCTCACAGGATAGCCGCTTTCTCCTGCAGCAGCCCCTTGCAGTTGAACAGTAAATGCTGTCCTACCCCATGGACAGGCTGATACGTTTAATTCAAGCATACCACTCCTGAAGGCAGTTACTTTACCACCCCCTGGTTTCGGAGTCCTTTCCGATTTTCCTGATTGGCTGTTGCAATGTTCCGTAGACTTTGTATAGTAAGGTTTCCCAGAGTTTCTTTAAAATGTATTCGCTTTTTCAGATCAAACTGATTTCGTAAAAACCAACCAAATTAGGGCTATCGAATAATATATAGAGCTAAAAGATTGATCCATTGGGTCGCTCGGGATGGATGCGCAGACACGATGGCCACACCTCCTCTTAATCTTTTATTATAAAGGATGAAACATTTCCCTTCTGCAATAATTTGGTTGAATGACATGTTATCAGCACAGGTACTGTAATATATATTTCTGTTTTCTTTATAAAATTAATTATAGCTGCACACCGTGAATCCACAACCATCTATGTTGCTGTCGATAACTAAAACTGCCACCTTTACGCACTAGGCACTGCTAAAGTTATCAACCTGGTGGCTCTCGATTCAATAATATTTCTCTGGGCAATGCAGACACGTCAGCACAGCGACGTAGAAAAACGGTCAACATAACATCGCACTACAAAGAATCGGCAAAATAATTATAGCTTCTATTGTAGCATACATCTAGGACATCATAATTATGTGCAATGTGCAATAATATGGCCTGAGAACAAACAGAAACCCAGCTGATTTGTTTCCGGTGAAGCTGTTCTAATCTGTCGCGGATCGAATCAAGCGAAGTGCACACAACGAGTAGCGACATAACGATTGCGTATAACGACAAGGGAAAACAATACGGTGTAGTTGTAGCAATTAAATTTCTTTCAGTTATCTACTCGCTCAGTGGTGCCCACTCCGCGGCATTGCTGCCGGATTACCTGGTTAAATTCTAAAGGCATTAAGCGTTCTTGGACAGAACGTAGTACTGTAATTCAACCGCATATTCGGATCTCCTAAAAGCAGAGATATTGCACTGGATTTCCGAATTCCCACTTACGTATGTACAATGGACTTCGAAATGGTGTTACAACATTTCCATTCATGTTCACATACATATAGGTTGTGAGAGTAGCATTTTTATGAAGTCCACAGTTTGAATTTTTCGTGGCGGATTACTTTAATCGCTACCGGGTAGTGTGAATGAACAAAAGGGAGCGGGCAACGCTGTGTACAATTGTGCAGTACACTCCTATCAGTAAAGCAACCTCCGATCTGAGTGCTCGTTCCTCGAAGGTCACAAAAGCGGCAACTGACCGCCTGCTGTCGAAAAAAATGTTAATACAGCGCATTAAAATTCAGTTTACTTTAAAACTGCATTAACCTTTAACACATAAAAATGGAATAATAAAAGCAATTTCAAGATTAGGCTTTTTCTATGGTTGGGCTTCAACTATAGTATCAGTACACTGTTACAACGGTCAAACCCCTTCGCTTGTCATCTAAAATTGTTTCTAAAAAAAAAACACGGGCTTCCTCAGTTTAACAGAGTGCAGTAATAATGCACATAACTAAACACTGCAGTACTATTGTTACAGCGGTCGTTTGTTCGTCCGCTGCGACAGAGATGATTGTCGTTGTCCAAGTTGCTGATGCAGAACACTGCACACAATTGCAACACCAAGTGGCAACCTCATCGTCTCGCTTGCTGGTTGGGTGCGTCCAGGCAACTGAGGCAAGCACTTCCGCACGCGCACCAGGTGATGGAAAACACAAAGAACAAGCGCAAAAATCTGACAGCTCGTTCCATTTTACTACTAGTACCTCTGCATTTATCTGCTCCAAAAAGTGCTTTCTTTGTTCCTATGCACTGCACGTAAGTCGTGCTTTACTTCGTAAGTCGTGCTCGTAAGTCGTGCTGACGTGCCAAGTTCTCGCGCAACCTTTTTGTGTGCTTGTAAAGCTCATATATAAACTACGGAAAGAGAGATACTCAATCAAAACCGTTTTAATGGAATTTTCTTTAGGTTTAAAACGAATAAAATAAATTCAATTCATAAAGCTTTAAAACTTCTGTACAGACCTACCATAAGTACTGTACGAATACGAGTACTCGTACTACGGTAACTGCACTTAATCATTGAATCATGAGCAGCTTATTATACTTATCTAATTTTACTTTAATTCAAATCAGAGCTGGCAGCCCTTTTCCTGCTAAGATGACAATCTAGCCTATGATTTTTATCCTGGCTGGTGAACGCTGAAAAGGAAAAACATGGAGATCAATGTACATTGTACGGTAGAAATGATTAAAAGCCCACACTGAACACAGCACAATCGACAGACCCAGTTCTGCAATTTTGTAACAAAAAAAAACACATCACCAGACGGGCATCATTCATTTAAAAAATCAACCCAAAAGAAGGGAACTCTAGGATAGTGCTGCCGCAACGGTTAATCTTATCCAAAAGCTTACTCATGATTCTCCATGCTAACGTTGTTTCCCACATTTGGATGCCGCACTGGTTTGATGGTCAGCCGACCAGCGATGCGCAAACTGTATGACTTTCTTTTCTTGTTAATCCCGATCGTATCCAGTATTTAGGAGGGCATGTTTAAAGCCCCAGAATGTTCAATCTTGCTGCTCTGATGGTTGTGTAGCCAGATGGCATCTTCTTAACTTAAGTAATGTTCTTTTATTTAGGGTTATCCTGATCAGCAGTTTTATTTAGTATCATTTATTTTTAATAAATACAGATATATGTGTGGGCAACCTCTAAAATATTTCTAAATATTTAGAACTGTTTTGAAAGTGTAGAAATGCGCAAATATAGAGGTCGAGAGTTTGTGAACGACTGTGCCGAACTAGCCTTTTTAACTGCTGGCTATTCTAATATTAATAGAAAATCTGTAAGGTTTTTCAAAGTAAGTGTCACGTACAGTTACGTTAGATTAAGTGACAAGTATCTGTACAGTTAAGTTAGGCTTGCCTTTTGCACTATTTTTCCGCTTAAGCATACAGAGTATTTGTATATGGTGAATAAAGAAATCGTTGTTTTGATTGCAGTTTTTGATTATCGTCAGCTTATATTTTGCTAGCATTGCCGGTTCTTTGATTTTTACCGTGATCAGTGCACATTGAGGTGCACCGGTGCGATTTTAGCGAAAAATCGCACCGCGGCTGCTCCCCACGGCGCCAAAATCCACCCTTAAAACACTACTTTACGCTGAGTTCCGTGCACAATTGTTTTTCGATACAAATTTTCACTCCGCACGCTGCTTCCACTGGCTAACCCAAACCGGTTCCATTTATATAATGCTTGAATTCCGTCGCACGAATAAAGATCCTTCCTTATGTAATAAGTTTTGTAAATGTTTCCGAAATCGCTGGTACTTCCAGTAAACCGCCGCATAAAACATTTCTTGTGGCGCAGCTGTGAGTTGCCACGAACAAATGCAGGGATGAATGCGGTGGTTTGTTATCAAAACTACAGCATAAAATATCAAAGCTGTGCACTGTGCACAGTAAAAAATCTGAGAAATTTTTGGCAGTTGTGCAGTTGATTTCCCATTCCCACACTGAAATACCATTTCCATAATGAAACGCAACCCCGTTACCATTCGCATTCCCAGTTTCAGTTCCCAGTACCAATTCCCGATTCCCCATCCCAGCTTTTATTGCTGTCACGGTACCGGTTGTAATAGCGGCGCAGTTGAAGAGAGTACTTTTACGACATAAAAATTAATATAGATATGTGTACTCGTACTCAAAGGTGTACATAATACCATTAAGTAGAAATCATGTTAAGGAGCGCGGCGTGCCGGCACCATCAGCTGCTTAGCCTTGGTAAAGCAGGGCTCCATAATAGCCTCCATTATCAGTGACCACGCTACAGGCGCCAAAATAAAGACTGAAGGTTGATGGCATCAAAGTTGTGGTTAATGCATAGGGATATGGGTGTATTTCATTTCCTATCTTTTTTCGATCGCGCTATATTATTATTATTATTATTACATCAAGGGCAGACAACCCGATTAACGGGACTTCAACGTCTGATCACTGCAATAACAACGTTAAGATTACGGCAGATCCACCATTCTGAGAGCAAATTTAAATCACACTATCTCTTTTTCTCACACTACAGAGCGTCTTTCCGTCCAACCATTTTCTAAATTACAGCCAGCTTGTTATCGCCTCTGATTGGCGGGAAAAAGGAGATAAAACGTTCGCATCGACGAAGAACGGATATATTCATAAACAAGTGCATTAATACATAGAACATAGCACTAACATGGTGTCGCCTGTCATACTTTCGCTCGCCTTTGCCGGCGATCCTGGTGACTGGCCTAATAAATAACTACGAAAAACAGTGTTCACATATGATTATTTTATCGAATTTTGCTGCATCTTCTGGTTGCTAATAACAGTGAGCTCACTGAACCGCATGCGAACTCAAACAGCAAGCCGAAAAATAAAAACAATATAACCGGCATATTATCATGTGCTTTAATACCTAGAATCTGATGCTTAGTAGTTAGTAACGATACTCGTATAGTCTGTAATGTGGCGCATTAAGTAAGTATTTATCATGAAATCACTACAACTTCCTCACTGTGCTCAATAAACAGTTAAACTTATATACCGTATTAAGCTTAATGTGTCATTAACAAGAACCACTCACAATGTTTTCGCTATGTGCTCGCTGCAAACCAGCAACGGCTTTAAACCTTTCGTACTGAGACTGACAAAATTGATATCAATGAATTTTAATACTTCGGCACTTGTTGACAACCCGTCATTCTCACTTTGCAATTCAAACACCCGGTCACCAGCCCCCACCATTGTGACGTTTCGGAATGATGATTAATTGCTGACCGCAGTTGCAATAACGTGCAGAATTCAAAATGCATAATAAAATTGGGTGTTGAGAAATATCGAATTACTCGCTCGCGTCTCCATACACCTGTCAGTGCGTCCACTACTACTTTACGGTATTCAAGGCATTAATAGAAGTATGCAGTAAATACCGTCTTCGTAGTAATAACACATTGTTCATAGTGGTTAGACGAAAACTACTACTTAAACATAAGTGCCAGAATTTTCTTTTTCCGGGACTAACTTCTCTTCCCCCTACATAATACCCATAAAATAAAGTGTGTTAACATTTTTTCAATGCAACGGGCAACACAGAGGGCCACGATTTTCGATTATGCCATGATAAAATAATTTAAAATAAAAAATCAAGGCTAATCTTTACAGACTAGAAATTATTATTTCAAGAAACACAAGGTCACCGAAGAGCTTAAAATCGAATCACGTTGAATAACTCGAGCATTGAATGATTATACTATGAGTATACCACAGCGATTGATTATACGTCTACGGCGTAGCTCGAGTTCAGAAGTTTGACTTTATCACGGCTGACTCTAATTACTGGGCACTGGGCTGTGACCTTTAACTTCCAGCATACGATATCGGGTAGTTACTCGTTACTTTGTACTTCACATAATAAAAATCTGTACACATTTTCGTTTTCAACGTTTAAGTTTCGAGATTTAACGTGGTAATGCTCAGAGCGTTCTGGGAGCTGTTCATTGTTATTTTAACTGGAAAGGAGTTCTAATTTAGAACATGTAAAAGCAAGACGTTGTCGCTTGTTAAGTACACTGAATAAAGGTTTGTTACATGATGATATTATTCTTAGTTCGGCGATTCGAATAGTTACTTATTCAGCGGTTCAATAAAAATCCACAGAGGAGTAATAAGTGCGTAAGTATTTACGGTAACGCACACGCGGTTTGTAAACCCAAAGGCACGGCTAATCTCTGAGCATTCAAACACAGATTGAATGTTACCATCAGATTTGTACAGTTTTTTTCCAACAATGCTGTTTTTTTTCGATAATTCTATAGCTACCGACGTTTTGAAAAATACGCATTAAAAAACGGTATGAATAATAATAAGCCAAAATATGGATGTATACTGAGCTTTAATCGTGCTCCTAGAAACTGGTCCATCGAAAGGTTTGCGATGTTACGCTTGCCCCGTCGATTTACGAGTACAGTGCACCTGGGTATAAAAGGTACGCAATTTAATTAATTCTTACTAAGTTCTCGGGTCAATCCGGCCTGTTTTACTGGACATGGTAATGAACTCTGTAGTACCAGGACCACGGAGAGCACCAGGTGCAGCATATCCAAAGCGGTCATCTTCAAAGTTACTGGGTTCCTTGGCAACAAAAGCTTTGTATTAACGGTTCACAACGACAAATTGATTTACTTTAACTGTAAATTCCCCGATGGCCGACAGTTGTGCAAGTATCCAAAATAAAGCACTTCCTAAATGATAGCGCTTAGATACTTCGGCGTAAGCGTTTGATGAACAGCTGGCCGGGCAATGGTGCGTGGCTTTTGATCATCACCATTCAACAGGCAAAACACTAAAAGCTGCGTACATCACCAGTCTCGTCCGATTGGCAGTGGTACGCGTCTCCAGCAAAAGAGAATCCACCCACGCACGTGGCTTTGTGCAGTAATTCTCGTTCAACGCTACAATACAACAACAACCAGCGTTCAAATTAAATTCAATCTAGTTAGTCTAACTTCGTAAATTGTAATCATGCAGATTGGAGACTGGCCGAAAAGTATGCATGTCACAGTACTGATATCAGAAGTTGATGCAACACGCAAAAGCTTTTCGATGCCGTAAATTGCTAGCTAACAGCGCAGCTAGATGACGTAGTGAGATCGAACCTTGAATGAGGTCGTTGGTGCGCTGCCGGGACGCAGCGATACATGTACGTGTTACGGCAGCGCTGAACGCACCGTATAACCCAGACGTAGCACCACTGCCCGATCCGGCAGCTTCCTTCTTCCTGCCGGGCACAGCCCACGCTTCATCGAACAGCTCATGTAGTGCTTTTTCGGTGCGCCACACGCTGGTACAGCTTGATCGGGCAGCAACAATAAACGATTCCGATATAAAATGCAGGGAGAAGGAAGCGGCCGGATCGGACAGTGGTGCACCTGGATCGTCTGGGTTATACGGTGCGTTCAGCGCTGCCGTGACACGTACATGTATCGCTGCGTCCGGAAGCGCATCAGGTTCAATCGACGACATCTAGCTGCGCTCAAGACGCTCATAAAGGTCGCATCAATCTCACATTTACGATGCGGCATGCACTGTACGACTGAGCAAATATCACAGTGCTGCAGTAAAATGCTTATGCTATGCTTTATATATATCAACTCCTGATATCACTGTTACTGTATTTACACAAGTTTAAGAGCCACCAAAATGGCGGAATCCGTAAACAATAGCGCGCGGCTTCTTTGAAGTTCAAAAAAGCCGTCGGATATTCTGCGCACACCCGGACTTTTTTGAGGCTCTTAAACTTGTGTAAATACAGTACATGCTTATAAAAGTAACTACAGTATGTGCGACTCGCCCCGACGGTGATCCGCGTCGGGAAATTCCGCATGCATGTCGTCTCCAGGATGACATCGTCGTCGTCCGTCGAATTGCTGGGGTATTGCCGCAATGACGTCCCGGAAGCGGCAAAACGGAACTGGACATCTGATTCCATGGCGTGCCATGCAGCTACTCCGCTCGCTTAGCCACAGCGGAAAAACACAGTTTGGCTCAGGGTCAAACTACACATGTATCCGCTCGAGCTACACGAAAAAATTCGTTTCGTTAATAAGAATTCGCAAATTTGTGGTTCTATCTGTACCATCCGCGAGTGGCAAACATGACGGCTTTAAACGACTCCCCGACGGTGATCCGCGCCGGGAAATCCCGCATACACGTCGTCTCCAGAATGACATCGTCGTCGTCCGTCGAATTCCCGGTGTACTGCCGCATTGACGTCCCGGAAGCGGCAAAACCGAACTGGACATTCGATTCCATGGCGTGCCAGCTTCTCCGCTCGCTCAGCCACATGTACAGCGGAAACACACAGTTTGGTTGGGGTTTATTTTCTATAACAGGAAATACAGTTGTAATTAAGCCACTTGTTTCCCTCACCTTTTTACGTGTGCGAATTAATCGGGTAAATCAAAGTACAATAAATGTTTTAGAAATTTAATATTTTACTGCTATTTTTGTTTTTTTTTACCTGGTGTCAGTGTTAACGTCTGCGGTCCTTCCTGTGGGGAAAACAGTGCATTACATGTTGCGTCGACCGACTGCGCCAATTGAACTCCAGCGTCCGTCATCTTATACAACTGTACAATAATTTGTCAGATATAAAATAACCTTTACGTTTCGACGACAATTATCCCGTATTCTTACAAAGCAGCGAAACTGTTGGCCACGGTATGTGTGATGCGACCGATAAGGTACCGGTTCACTCCGTTGCGCCACGATCCCAAACACTCCAGTCTGACATCTGTATTGCAATAAAAATACATAAAAATGAATTAATCGCGCTAAAAAAACAACGGAAATAAAAATCATTCGAGTCTTCGTCGGCTCTATCAATCGTACTGCGTTCTTCCGTGGCATCCGGGCAGGATTTATAATCCAGCATCATCTTCGAGTCAATAACAAGAGGTTTCCGTCTGCGGCACCAGGTTGCTGCGTTTCGTGGGGCCTTGTTTGTACGTGAGAGAATACCGTCCATTAAAGGGACACTGTTCCGGTTCCACAAATCATAACAAAAATAATATCATCTTATTTCCTATAATATTAACAAGTGGGAGAAACGAAATTTTAATTTACAAAAGCAAAAATATAATTGAATCAATATTAATAAATTCGAGGGTTCCATACAGGATTAAACCAAGTACTTACTACTTATTGTTAGGATTCGATTCTGGTATCAGAGACAATGCCCTAAATATAAAGCTATTTTATGCATAAATTAAATTAAAAAAATTGGTTACAGCTCGGAAAATAACAGATTCAAATGCACAAAATGAGAATCAAACCTAGTATAGTACGTGACTTCTTTGCAGATGTCTTACTAGTTCTTAGCTTGGTCCTGTTTGCATGGGACGGGGCAGGTTGGATTGGTCCGGAATCCCTTCGAATACATAAAATGCAGAACCAAGACAGCACATCCAAAACAGATTTTAAATCCGAAAATAATTTTCAAAATTCTTACAAGACTTCACAGTGCTGTAAGCTGCATTAATAATTCAAAATCCAAAAAAATGTACAGTACTTCAAATTAGTACTGTAATTGTTTTTATTTGCTGTTCCGTGTTTACGCGATATTAAGGGAAATCGAACCGCACTTCGCGTCGCGCTTCGTTGATACTTGTGCCAAGGAACCGACGCCCGGGCGCCTGCGGGCAGTCTACGGGGATTCATTATTTCTTTATATTACTTATTGATAATGGTATGAGATGGTTAATATTATTTACTAAAGATTTAATATCTTGTACATACCGTGCAGCCATAAATGCTGAATCTGCCGTGAGCCATTAGATAGTCTGTTACATCGTAGTTAGTGCTTGATGCAGCACTCCTTCGACGGCATTTGGAATTATATAACTTTTCACGATCGCACAGATTACGATAAATCAAGTTGAAAGATCTAACACATACTGCGGTACTCCTACAAACAGTTAGATACATTTTTCAATCGCTTCTTTGTCAAAGCCTGCAATACAGAACTTCTATATAGCGCAACATCGAACGTTCACACGCACAAAAACACCAGTTTTTAATATTTTTCCTTTACCCTCCTTGTTGTTTTTTGTCCGCGATGGTTAGCAGAACAACCTTGTCGAAAAATTAGGATAGTGCTGCATTCTTGCTAAATCAAGAGACAAATTCTAGACCCGCGTTACAAGGTGTCCCTTTGGATGCCAAAACAGTCGAAAAGGCGGCGTCCATAATTCTGCGCAGAATCGCTGTTGAATGTGTCCGTAAATCAATTATTTTTCGATTAACTGATCACGGCATCGTTACTGATGCCCTTTACAGCAATTATACAATAAAAGGCGCAAAACAAAAAAAAACGTACGCAATGGCGAATACAGTCGGATGATGTTACCTTGTAAGTGGCTGCAATGTAGACATGATGCGTGACACCACTGGCAATCAACAGGTGATACTAATAACGACCTACCGGAAAGTATAACTCTGCAGATATAATTCTCGCAAGTACTGCACCTGTAAGTAATTTTTTGTTATTGTTGTTTTTAGTATTAATAATATACATGGCGGAAGAGTGCGCAACTCTACAGGATACATGAAGTTTTCTTGAGCTCGTGTAGCGGCGTTCACTGAGCACCAGATCTAACTACAGCCTGCGGTCGTTGTAATATGCGTATGTTGTTCCGGGTTCCCAGTACTGCGTAGTAAATTTTTTATGACCAACGTAAAAAAATGGAAACTGATCCGCCACGCTTCACCAAACATAAAAACCTGCCATTCACGTCTATATCACAGCTCAACAAAAATCTCCAATCAAAAACGCAAAACAACCGCAGACTATTGAGAATGTTGGATTTGGACTCTTTGGTAAGCAAACTGAGCACTCCTCACAATTTTTTTGCCGGGTATCATCTCCTTCCCGCTCCCAGCAGCAGCGAAGAAAAGATGATAGAGAGCAGGCCGACGACAAGATGAAAAATGGACGACACCGAGTTGGCGGCGGACGCTGTACATTCTGTAAACTTGGTCACGTTGAAGAGGTCGTTCTGTGGATTGATCAGATTGGGACAGCGCTGCGGGATGCTGCTGATGCGGACGGATCCACTCTCGGCTTGATACATCTGCAAAACAGTTCACTTTCTAATTTTCACATAGGTAATTTCGAATAAACTCAGATACTTACGAAGCAGTATCGTGCTGAGTAATTTTTTCTATCACTGGCAATGAAAAACGAGATTTCGTTCTCCTTCCAGTGTCCGTGGCAGACGAATTCCACTACATAGGTCAACGATTATCACCATTGCTCAATTCTAGCAATTACTTATTTATTCGCAGCATTTCGGTCCTGTTTCTTACTTAGGTTGATCTCTTCAACCGGTTTCGGGCATTGTACGTTGCCGTCCGCCGCTGTCGGCTGAAAGCGTACAAACGAATCCCGAGCGCATCCAATGGAGATCTTGGTTCCTTGCCGGCATTTTGGTTCCACGTTGTTGACGGGAACCGGGCCGACGACGTACTCTCCCGGAAAGGGGCATGTTACACCGGAAGCGACCGTCGGGATTAGTGTTGTCCAGTCGGTGCGGTTAACGCTGAAGTATGATTTCGTACATGCCGCGTCCACTGTTTTCGCTAATCGTCCTACAATCAATCTTTTGTATAAATCACAAATTATTTTTACATAGTCTAATCTTTAATTTTTATGTGCAGTACTTTGGATAATTCTGGAGTTCAGTGTACATCAATCATTTATGTTAGTATACTCGTACATACGGCTTTTGTATAATACATTTTTCCCGTATTAGCGTAAGTGATCTTTCACTTTCACCATTTTTGTGCACCCAAACTTCTTATAAAAATTTTTTATGTAATAATTTTTCCTAGTTGGTGTGCGTGGCCTTTCAAGTGCGTATTCTATAATGGAATTCTTTCGTACCTTGGTGTAGTTGGACAATCTGGTCGTTCAATTTTATAAACTGCATACACATGTATCCGCTCGAGCTACACGAAAAAATTTGTATTGTTAATAGGAATTCTCGAATTTGTGGTTCTATCTGTACCATCCGCGAGTGGCAAACATGACGGCTTTGAATGATTCCCCGATGGTGATCCTTGTCGGGAAATCCCGCATGCACGTCGTCTCCAGGATGACATCGTCGTCGTCCGTCGAATTCCCGGTGTACTGCCGCAGTGACGTCCGGAAGCGGCAAAACGGAACTGGACATCTGATTCCATGGCGTGCCAGCTTCTCCGCTCGCTCAGCCACAGCGGAAACACGCAGTTTGGCTCGGGGTCATTTTCTAATAGGAAACACAGTCGGGATTTCATTAAACCACTCAGTTTCCTCACCTTTTTTACGTGTGCCGAATTAACTAAGTAAATCAAAGTAAAATTAACCAAGTAAAATAATTTTTTTAGAAATTTAATATTTTATTGCTATTCTTGTTTTTGTACCTGGTGTCAGTGTTAACGTCTGCGGTCCCTCCTGTGGGGAATACAGTGCATTACATGTTGCGTCGGCCGACTGCGCCAACTGCACTCCAGAATCCGTCATTTTATACATCTGGAAAAAAGTTAAATTTCTCAGCTACAATATTTGATAACGTTTGTTGATATTCGTTGATAGTTGGAAGAACTCCTTATCCTTACAAAGCAGCGAAAAATCTCTTCATTGCTGTTGGCCATCGTGTGCGTGATGCGACCGATAAGGTACCAGTTCTCTCCGTTGCGCCACGATCCCAGACACTCCAGTTTGACATCTGTTGCAATAAAAACACATGAAATAAATCAGTCGCGCTAAAACAACTGAAATCAAAATCTTTCGAGCGTTTTTCGGTTGTATCGCTCTTACTGCGTTCTTCTGTGGCATCCGGGCAGGATTTGTAATGCAGCATCATCTCCGAGTCCTTAACACAGGTCTCCGTCTGCGATACCGGATTGCTGCATTCCGTGTAGCCTTGTGTATATGTGAACGAATATCGTCCGTTGAAGGGACACCGTTCCGGTTCTGCATTAACTGCAACAACAAAATCTTTACAATAATTATACAGATAAAAATAAATTTTGACGTACGGCGAAACATTGTGAATAAATCCGCGTTTCCGGTTATCGTATCACAGAGTTCCTCAAAGGAGTATTGCTCTTCGGATGGCACACAGTAGCCTGGAAAGAATTCTCTATTGTAATTATTATCATCCCATTCAATTATTTTTACACAATCTTATTTTTACACAATCGACAAACTTAATACAAGGAGGCAAATTTGAAAAGTATTGAAAAAAAAGTTATTGAAAGAAGTTCAACTTGAGTTTAAAACGACTTTGTGAGAAAGAACTCCCTTTTAATTAAAAGCCCATACTCTACAACATCGCACAATGCATTTTCGGTGCAAATAAGCACCGAACGGACCATTTAAAGAACTTTGCCAGTAAAATAATCAGAGTAAGTGCTACTGCCAAATTTTTAAAAATCTCAAAGGAAAAAGTTTCAAATTATATTTTTTAAATGATATACTTACTTTCTTTAAACTGTATGACATTCGGATGCTGTTGTGGACTAGATGTGATGATACACTGACTGCAATTCTGCACTCTGCAAAAGACAAACACAGCATCATTCAGTATTATCAACCTCATTTCAAGATTCTATTTTGTATTGATTTATTGAATACAGAAATTCGACAAAAATATGTATACGAATTGTCTGAGTAACGAGGCATCGATGGTTTGGACGATGACCTTTAATGTATGCAGCCCACTCCTGGCGCATTAGACCCTAAACGCGTAAACGGGAAAGTGTTGTATCGCCTTCGGGCAACCGGACCCTGATTCATTCGCTCCGCATCCCCCCACTTAACAGCGGAAACACTCGAGCCGCGAAAAATCAACTCACCGCACAATGCACACGGTGATGAGCTGCTGCAGTGGAGCGCGCGCACCGTAGATGCGTTAAATCAATTACAACTGACCACCGCGCGTCATGCCAAGCAAAAGATTGACCGAAGCGCCGAGTAGCGTCATTTCCATAACTAATGAAAATGTATTCATAATGCTGAATGGAAGGGGAATATTTCTGCTAAGTAGAATCGACCCCGGCACGGCAGGAGTGCACGCCGTGGTCAGCTACTGAGGCCAGCGCAATCAGTCATGTGTGAATGGGGGGAGGATGGACGCGGGATGGATGGGTATGAGCGCGAGTGCAGCAGTGACGCCCCTGTATTAACCCCGGGCCGCACTGGACAATGGACGGTCTAAATGGATGGGCACGGTGCACCACTGCACCGGGTATGGTGCGCTAATTTGCGGGCTCTGCGCCGGCATTGTGTCCTCTTTGGTAGCAAGTTTGGTAAAATATTTCTAGAAGCAACCTTATAATGCTGAATGCCCGAATACTTTTAATACGGAATAGATACGCGAAAAACTGTTTGACTTATTTTTCGGCGGACAACGCAAAATAAACATGAGTATCGCGTTTTTAAAAAAAATACGTTAAAAGAAATTTGGATGTTGAAGATTTGCTGGAGGCAGGAGAGCCAGAATATTACAAATTTTCAGTTTTTTTTCAAAACCGAACTTTATCTTACAGTTTTCATAGCTGCGCTTAAAATTTTTTGGGATTAATGTTCCACAAAATAATTACAAAAAAAATTAAAGGTATAAATCGGTATTGCACTCAAATAACGTTCCCACGTTTCACCAGTTACAGAACACACAGCAGGGTTGAAATAGTTTCAGTGCTTTATGCACAACTGCGTCCACTAGTGACTAGTGACTAGACTACAAAACCCTCACATGCTCCAATAAAATTTGAATCGGGAAAAAATGTAGGTAAAGGGCCACTGAAAACATAATTTGCTTCTTAGCTTATTCTTACTTAACCCGACTCCTGCGTTTGTGCTCATGTTTCTGTTTCTGAACCGGGATACATATCTCGCAAAAAATAACCGCGAAAAAGTTAAATTCTAAACCAATATTGTCTTGTGGAAACATCCTTCCCAGTTTTAAAAGAACATCACCAACGAAGCAAGCTAAAAGCTGCTGCTGCTGCCACCACATTACAACTTTGCATATAAAGAGAACTGCATGAATACACGCTGGTGTTATTGTAGCGGCTGTTATGTTATCGCCAACACACGCCATGTTGACCATCCTCAATGGCCACACGATCCCCATAATTAAAGCAGTGTCTGTAATGTTTGTGTTGACCATAGCATCTCGACCGTTCTAAGCCGATCACGTACACACCGCCACGGAGCGACTGACCATCCGGAATGTGATCCGAACTGTCAAACACTACAACATGCCAACTTGTCAATATTATAGACACGACGGCGAGTATTGCGTCGATCTGCGTAATGTTATCGTTAACTTCCTGCCGCGAAATGGGAAATGGCGTTGATTACGGCATCGCGCGCGCTGGTCAGCTTTCCCTGACAGATGATCGCTGCGCTTAATTGTATGCGGCAGTGTCCAGTTGGAGTTGCATATAAAATGCATAGGGTATAAGAATTATTGTTAGCGAGAGGCTGTGACGGGCCGTTTTCGTCACGGATCATTGACTGGACGCCGGGGATCAGTGGTTACGACTGTAGGCTGAGATTGATGGACGTGGGGCATTTTCGGATGGTTATCGCGCGTAATTTTCTCATTTATATCGGGAAATAAAATGAGGAACACTCGCGCTGCGGAAGAGGCTTAAGTTGGGACAAACACAAAGTCTGTTAAACCATCCACGAGGAATCGGGAAATAAAATTACCGAATAAAAAATATTGAAATTCCATCACTGAGAACAGCGAAAAGCAAAATTGACCGTTCTTAAAAAAGACTCCCAAGTAATTTCTTTGCTAATTTGGTCAAAATGCCTTTTCAGACTCGTCAAATACGTTTCGAAAAATTCTATTTTTTAAAAGTTTTGTTTGACTCCCAGCTGTGATTTTGCTGCTTAGACAGAACCGACCAAACCGACCTAGCAGTTTTCACTAATGCCTCTGCACTACGATTACCAGACATTTTTCTGAACTTAAGATCTCGAACGGTTCGTAGATACCTTGTAGAAATTTAAAAATTTCAATTTAAATTATTTGCAATCACAACATGTTAACATTATTTTGAATTTTCATTTCGAAGTACCTAAGTTTTTTATTTAAAAATTAAAAAGGCTAGTTTCAGAAATATTTTGCCAGTTAACCAGATGATCAAGCAAAGCCAAAGAACATAACACATTACAAAAGCCCTTCACTTTTGCAAATACGGTTGTACTCGTAAGTGGTACGGTATGCAATAAACTTATAATATTTTTATGAGTTTTTTAAATACATGCATATGTATGCATATTTTTAAATGAAAAACTGAAATTAAAATTGTTAAAACATAATATTTTTATATAATATGTATCACAATTTAGAGCCTAATTCCACGCTGGGAAAACGCAACAGAAAGCAGATGTGAATACGATATTAGTTTTATCTTCGAGAATTAATTCGATAAAAATAAAGTAACTGCTCTCCAAAATTCTGTCCGCACATCAAAACAATATGAAAACATATTAATAAAATTAACAATGTTTAAAATGCGTTATGTGGAGTTCTAAATATACACTGATTAATTTTCTAGTACAACAAAACTATGTATGATATAGCCGCTGAAAGAACAACAGCCCAGAACAATATTAATGAGCTTGTTATGTTAGATAACAACATCATATGTCAATGTAGCGGAAAAGGTGGACGGCGTGCCTCACACCGGGAGTTGCCGTAATGTGGGTCAGTTGCACGCTCATCACGGCATCTGTACAGCAAGATGGATTCTTCGCTGCGATGATTGATGCTGATGCGATCTGGTTTCTGTATAGTGTATATACCGGCAACAAAACACCGTTATTTTGTCAGCGACGCAGCCGCCCGCCACACCGGTCGCGTTGTGGCACGCGGCACTTATCCGTTATAGTACGGAACAAAATGATTTGTTGTTGTCGGCTTAGCAAGAATTACCGGGTTTAAATCAAGGTGAAAATGCGTAAATAATTTGTTGGACACGGACTAATAGGCAATTATGATTGTCATACGTTAGTAGCATGAATATCTGGAACAAACAGCGTATATACGCCAGTGTCGCGTCAAAATGGATGGAAATAATTAAGTGTCAGTTATCGTTAAAGAGTAAATAAAGGGTTTGACATGTCCGTTGCCGAAAATTGCCGGTTCATGGACACAAATGTTGCAGTTGCGCCCGGCCCCGTTGCGGCACATTCGACACTGCATGAATTAAAATGTGCAATAAATTAGCTCTGCCCCACATTGTAGCTGAAATTTACGGTGCATTAATTGATAGATATGCCGGTATTAATTATTTTCTTCGCTCTATTCTGCGATAATTACCGTGATTTCAGTTTTACTGGTTCGACAGCGTTAAAGAAGTGCGATGCACATGTTTATGTACAATTCAAATTAATTTTAGCGCAAATCGTTAAGAAAAATCCTCTTTCCACAAATGTGATTTCTAACGCTTTCCAGATTTTTCCCCACGGTGAAAATATACGAAAGCACAATGTTTCTTAATTCTGAAAGGTTTGAAAAGAAAACTAAAAATTTTTATGCGCTCGCCGAAAACACAATCGTTTTTTTTAAAAATGTAGGCTTATTTTACTATTTTAAGCGTTCACTTGCATTTAGTTGTGTAAAACTGATTTGTGCACCACGCGACAAAAGCCGAAGCATAGCTAGTCTTCGTAGTGCAGTGGCTCGACGACGAATGCACATTGCATAACTGTTATAGGTATTACGTCAGATTAAAATTTTAAACTTTACTGTGCTTAATATGAAATTTGAACTTTTATTTTACATTTTTGTGTGGCATGTTTTTTAGACGGTTTTTCTCTGATTCGAGCGTTTATTCAATCGATACGGTTTGCAATTTAAGTTACTAAAGTACTAGTAAACAAACTGCATTTACATTTACATAACCTTGACACTCACCGATTATAGAGAAGAAATTTGTGGATGAATTTATCGGACTTTTGAAGGACACACTCTCCTTTTCCGGTGATGGAATTCTGATTAATGTTGATCACACCGACCACGCCGGAAAGGAACCATTCGCCGTTCCAGGCATCCGGCAGGGCACAGTTGCCGCTGTCAGACGGCCTGTCAGCCTCCCTCGTTAGCGCCGACATGTCTGCCGCTAGGAGAGAAGAAAGAGATCACGTCAGGTCACCCTATTGTCTCTTTGTCAGGACCATCTCATGATCATTACGCGGCTGATTGACTGTTTACCGTCTACCACCGTTCACAACCGGCATTCTCTCTTCTTTTAATACCACAGAAAGCAACAAAAACCAGCAAAACACTAACAAATCGTCTCTCTTATAAAAATAGCAATAAATTTAAATTGGTGCTTTATTTTCGTAGAAATTTTACGTTTCCTTTAACGGACATATTTGCATTTGCTCTCAGAAGTGTTTTTATGAAAACATTTAACACCAGAAAAATGCTCCCAAATTACTGCAGTTTGCAATTAATTAAATGGCAAACACAGAAATCGCTGCTCAATATGAAACAGCAAGTTTAGAACAATTTTGATAATTTTTTGTCTTATTTGTTTTTACTTTCTGAATTATTTTTATAAGTACCTAATGTCGAAAAATCATTTTAAATATTTAGCAACCACTAATAAAATTCTTTACATATCTAATAAATTACTGATATCCTAGAATTATTTACACACAAAATTAAACTTTGCTCCTGTCGCGAATGTATAATTTTTTGCTCGATAGTTCTGCCACGACCCTTAATTATAAAACAAATCCGTAGTTAATGGGAAAAGTTGTTAAGTATCGTTTTGCAACAAATGACAGTACAAATATTTAATCAGAAATGCATGTTTCGTGTGGACGTGAACTCCGGCCACCCGGTGCGATTGCATCTTTGGCTGCGGATTTGCCGAGTTTCCTCGGCATGCTTAAAAAGTACAGCTGATGATTGATGAGCACTAAGCGGTTACGGCACACTGCACCGGCAAGAGAGTGTATTTGGTTGGATTAACTAGCCAGCAAAACAAGGCATTAATATTCTTCCGCTGAATTATGAGTGCTACTTGCCATTTAACTCTCTCGTCTGCACAGTGCAGTGAGTGCACACACACCGGCCATGATTGGCTGTGGGCCAGCCCGATTGTTGTAGCTGATAAAATAAATGTTTTTTGGAGCAGTCTGTTGTGAGGATTTTTAATGGCTTCTTAAAGCGACATGTGAATGGCTATTTAAGCAAGATTTACGATCTATTCAGCGCTGCGCACATCGGCTTTACACGCACCAGTGACGGTGACAATCGTAAAAACAATCGCCACGGATTTGTGGTCGGATATCCAACGTGTACACGGGGATTTGCTCGTGCTGGTCAGTTCGGCACCGGAAAGTCAACGTTTTCACTGAAAACACCCTGAGTGAATTTATTTATTTTTATTATTCTATTTGACATTTCTAGCAAAAATTAGCTGAACTAAACAAGAAGATGTTCCAAAAATACTCAGCAAATTTCATAAATTAATTTATTCATAGAAATTGATTTCAAAAATTTTGCCGAAGAATTACCAAAAATGTTTCCGCTAAAAGAACATTTTGCGTTTTCTCATTTCTTGGCAAAGTGTGTATAATAAGGTACAACAGTATTTATTTTCCAAACTTTATGCATATTTTGGTTGGATGTTCTTTTGGAGACTTTTGAAAAATTATGCAAAAATCATTTTTGTTCCTTCTGGATTTCGAATGTCCTAAATGATAATCGGTTTGATCCGTACTGGAAATTATTTGTGCATTCAGACAATTCAGACAGAAGCTTTAGTTGCGCATCTTATGCACACAAATGATGTCTAATTTAATTTACAAAATTTATAACGACCTTGTAGAACTGGCTTTTCGCTACTACCAACAAATATAATAATTCGATATAAATGCAGCCGTCTCTTACACTGATGCGGAAGTTATTGTTGTTCCCCGCTGAGAACCCCCGGGGAAATTCATTAAAACCCCAAACATTTAAATTCCTCGGCTCACTTTACACGCTACACTGCCGGTCAATCCAAATTTTTATGGGATCGTTAACCGTTTCGGATTTGCCTGATATGTCTACTAGACAGAGAGCCGGGCCGGCATGGAAAATGCGCCGTAAATTATCACAGTACAAGTTGTACAACCGCCTTAATGCGACTTAAACAGACAACAGTGAAAACGGACAACGTTGTTAGCGGTGGTGCGGCCGGAACAATGCAAATTTAATTTCATGTCAAGTGAGCCGGTTACATTGTTGTCAGATGGATTACATGCGGTAGTCATGCGGCTGGTGGCGTTGTATTTATAGGTTAAAATGAAATTTTGTCACTCTTGTGGAAGTCTTAAGTAACTTAAGCAGTCAATCTTTTTGTAATTATTTTTTTGCAAAATTTTTTAAAAACTGCTTTCTATGCGCTTTTGTCGTTATGCAAAACTTTTCCGTCAATCAGATTTTTGTAATTATTTTTTGCATAATTATTTAAGAAAGGCTCTCTGCATTATTTGATTGCTATACATGCAACGTTTCCAGTCAATCAGTTTGTTTTTGTAATTATTTTTTGTATAGCGAACAATAATGGTTTTTCGTGATTTTACTATTACCCGAACATTTTTTATTTTTGTTTTGTAACGAATACTGTAATAATCGTTTTCCATAATACGGGTACTGCGCAAAACTTCCATTCGACTCATCACAATCAATAAAAAAATCTGGCAATCTACATAAAATTACCTAAATTAGTGCAGTAATATTTGTGCATGTCACAGCGTCACCATGTATCAAGTGTTTTCTAGCGTAATTTTTATTTCAACTTCCGGCTGTTTATCTGTTGACTAAGGCACTTTATAATCGCTTGCTTATATCGGTTTTCGATGTTTACATTTTTTTCCGTTTCATGGTCCGATCCATGTTGTTTAACATCCGCTCGTCAGAGCGCTGAGAGTCGAGTCAGTAGACTAACATTTTCTAAAGGGAAAATTGGCTAAATCCGATCGGGGGTAATTTGACTCGACATCGAGGAATCCGATCGCGGCTTTGTGTAATAATGGTCGATTATAATCACTGACATTCCAATCCCGGTAGAGACTATAGCGTGGGGGGAAAGAGAACAATTTAAAATAGGACCGTTATGTCGTCAATGTAATCCGCCTTTTTACAAGCAGAGGGCCCCGAGCGACCGGTTTTGGATTATGATTATAATATCGCACGATGCAGGCGTACGGTACTGAACCATGACCAATACTGACCATCCGGCACGCGGTCACAGTCGCTGCGCACGCACACAGACAGCCGGCTATTTGCGTTTTAAAGTGCAGCTGGGGACACAGCGCAGACAGCCCTCTCTGCTTCCTATCACTCAACTGACCAGTACGTACGGTTGCTGACTGGTCCATTGTTCCGCACTGACCACTGTGCACTGAAACCGGTTGCTGTCTCGTTATGCGGGTGAAGAGTGCCAGACAGATGTGTGCATGCTACGGACGGTACAAAGTGTGTACACCAATTGACAAAGCAATATTGGCGGATTAAGCCGGTAACAATAGATGAAGGGCCATTTTCGGTGCTTTGTCACATGCAGATGGATTATGACACGTATAGCCGGGATTTACCGTCAGGATGAATTAAAACGGGATTAGGGCCTTTTATAAGGAAAACATTTTAGTCTATCGGTGAATAGGCTACCGTTTATTGTAAGTTAAATTGCTGTCAGGAAGAATTAGACGGTGACAGTTGGGAAAGAGTAAAAGCTTATTTAAACCCGTGATTATTTAATGTTTCCCACCCGGGAATTAAATTTCCTTTCGGGACTCGTTCATCTATTAAAATAATATTGCAAATAAATAGCTAAAAACAGAAATAGTTCACGCTAAATCTAAAAAATCTGGAACGAGACGTAAAATTCCATTTCTAAATTTTTATTCATCAAAATTCTTTTGAGATGACGCTTGAATTGGAAGATGATGAGAAAGTGTTGACAGAATATTTGGGTATAATTGAAAATGTCCATATCTAATGGCCGAGCTCATTACGCGGCGCACTGGAACCTTTGTGTAACACATACCCAATTCTTGCAATGCAATGGCAGATCGACTGTCAACTGACCACTTGTTTGCCCAACTCATCGGTCATTCTACAAGAATTTTGACGTTTCAAGTGGAAACCTGTATAGAACCGCGGAATGCTGCCGCGCGTAGGCATTATATTATTGCCACGGCAATGGACATATATTAATATGCATGAAGAATGCCTCTTAGGCAGGAAAGCAGGTAGACTACCACCCGTAACGCGCCGTTTCAACAAGGGTCTGCATTTTAAAAGGATGCAAACGATGATCTCAGGGCGCTGACTCCTTCTGAACGTGACATGTTTTCTTTGTCGCCTTTTTTTGTTACATAGAAAGAGGTGTAAGATACGTACGTAACGCAGCTGACTATCACATGCGAGACGAAGATAAGGAAAGTTTGACTAGAATTTAATAAAGACTAGACTAGAATTGTTTGACTAGGATTCTGTAATGTGCAGTGCCGCTTCGGCAATAAATATCTCGTATGCGAGTCATGCGGCCACTCGTTACTGTTGCCGGCATCCTAGCAGGAGAACGGTTCTTTGTTTGTTAAACCCTGAGAACCGGTTCCCATGAACCCATCGCGCACAAAGTGCTGACAAAGGCAGAAGCCCGTTTTGTAAACTTCTAAAACGTGAAACGTTACTGGCGCGTTATTAAATTCCCGAGCCGCAGCTTTATTGTTAGTTGTAATTTAGTTTTCAGATTAGGTTATGTCTTATGCTGCTTCCGGGATGACAATAGCGCTCGAGGCAAGAAAGCGATGGAAGAAGGGTTTCTCGTTGAAAAACTAGCAAGCACGTGACAGCGACTTGTTTTAAAAGCAATGGAAATTAAAGCGCATTTGCGGAACCATAGACTAAAGCTTACAAACAAGCTTCAGTATGCAAACTATCGCCTATATTAGCTTTATCAAATCATGGATAAAAAAGCTGTTCTAATTGCGCGAGCCGAAGCGACCGCGTCCGTCCAAGTAGTAGTCATTGTTGTTGTTGGAGGTGGTCTGCACCGGACAGGTGCTGATGTGCCACTTAGTCCACGTGCCGCTGTTGAAGGTCCATGCTTTGCAGTCGGCTGTTACAACAGTGGCGTAGCTGGCATTGCGCACATCCAGCGTCAGAGCGTTGAGAATCGGGATCCCGTCAAAGTTGTTTGTGGCGGTGTTGAAGCGGAACACTTGACCTTTGCTGGAGATGCTCCAAATCTCACCGTCTTCCCCGACGCTCACCCATTTGCTCGATCGGAACACTTGAACGTTGTGGTAGTGGCTGTCAATGTCTATGGTGCTCCATCGGTCGAATGCTAGGGTTCCATTAAACTGTAGGACATTTCCGCTGTCGCCATTCTCCGATTGAATTGCCACAGCTGTGTTTTTGCTCATGGCGTTGATCTACAAAATTGGTCATTGCGATTTACGCTCAGTATAGTGCAACGACTTCAGCCGATAAGAGCAGATGTTTTCCGCATAGACGACTGTTTTATTATAGTTCTCTTGCTCGTTTACGAGAACGGGGCGTAACGCAGCTGCAATCGATCGTGTCCATATAATTTCTATTTACTTATACATTAATGGCGTGCAAGGCATATTTTATAAATAATCAGTATTAAAGCATTAAATAGAAAGAAATTCAAAGAACTGTACTGACGGACAGTGATGAAAAATACGCCCAACAAGAGTTTATACGCCCAACAACAGTTTGTGTTTACAAGATACGCCCAACAAGAGATACGCTCACCTGCACACAGTCGGAAATATCGTAAGCTAACTCCCAGCCATTGCTGATTGGATTAAAGCGGAAAATGTCACCAGTCTGGGTGCACATATGATGCCAGCCATCCGGACTGGCACCGACGGTAACGGCTTTGTCCGACATATATCGGGCGTTTAAGGGCCCAGTCGGTACTGATTGGGGCAATGCAGCCCATACCCCATTGACCAGACGGTGAACGATGCCGGTTCGATCGATGCCCAGGAGCTCACTGCCTTTCCCGGAAATATAGGAGAAACTAGGCGGTACACTCGGCGGGCCAGGCGGCGGCATCGGGCCAGACGGTGGCATCGGGCCGAATGGGGGCATCTGGCCTAGGACGCCAATCACGCTGACCGACAGAATCAGGACACCTCCCACAATCATCGTTACGAGACTACGGATTGACCTTTACGGAACTCGCTCTTCATGCGTTTCGGAAAAATGGCAGTGCCTACTAGAAGTATAGAGCGAACATCAGGTGGATGAACTACGGCTTGCGGCTTTGGTTGAACAGTGAAAGTAGATTTATAAGAGCTGCGACACGAAATGTAGGAATTTTATTGTAGTTGTAAAGCTATTTTGGTCTCACGGAAATCTGGGGATGAAAGAATGGAATGTACTGTATCCGCCCGCACAAGTTGCTCCACTGGCAGATCCGGCCGTTGCCTTTGCCCTGCACACACTGCGCTGAAAAGCGAGCAATGTGGGTGCAAATATCCGTATACCTCACTCTGTGGGGTAACTTGTGCGGGCGGCTACAGTATCATTACCAGATTCTTCGGAAAATGCTTAGACAGTCGTACTGTTAAGTTTGCAATATTCCTGTTTGTTTACGAGGTTTTATGATATCGTAAACCCTGGATCTGCAGAAACAGGCTCGTGGAAGTGTCTTGCTTATTTACATATGACAACCTGAATTCTTCGGTTAGCATGCATTAGCACATCAAATGGAGCTGTTTCGTATTTTTAATTGTCGAAGTCGTAAATTCTTATGAAGCAATCTAGCTCCAACTCAAATTTATTGGCCAGACGGAATGATAATAATCCGTAAAACTGGTGTATAACTAATTTTTATCTTTTTGTGGCTAGGCATGGAAAATGTTAGCTTTTGCACTTGCGGTGTTTATGTCTAAGATTTGCTGGTCCGGCTTAACCAATACTGTCACAGCTGTACGAGCATACTGTTGCCACTCACTCACATAACAACTACGTTGCCACAGCGAAACTGATAAATTTTATGTAACATGATGTTTGTGCGCTGTGTTTCTCACAATTTTCGGGAGGATAACACGTTAAGAAAGTCCAGACTTCCATCAGCTTAATAATTCACGTTAACGCTCCTGGGTTTCAGCGTATAATATTACCTTTCCATAAACTGCTTCCCGCATGTATCTGTATGTACGCGTATGTGCTCGATCGCGCACGAAAACAGTAATAAATACTGTAATTTGCACCGAGCGCGAAGCGCGAGGTGCTGCAATAAGTCATCGTCAAGAGCATAAAATTTGTCTGCAGCCACAAGGAGCGTACGTCACGCTTTTCCAATTCCACAACCCCATACCATTTCCCAGTGGTATTGGCGCTCGCCCTCGTGCAATAATGTGGTTCGCAACCACCGCTAGTTACTAGCGGGGGTTTGTTAACCGTTACCCGGAATTTGTACATCCCACTGAAAGCGAATTGATACTGCTCGGTGCTCCTCTTTTGCAGGCTGCCATTCCTGATGCCATTCTTCGGAAGTCCGTGGATCTGCAAAGACTAGCATCCAAGCTAAGTATACTGCCTGCTCATCAGGCTTAATTTCTGCTGCGCACTTGTATTGGCGTTCCTAAAATGAACTATTTACTAGGACACTACGGCGTGTACAAAAAGTGTGGGATGTAGCTCTGGTACAAAAAGCTTGCCGAATTATTAAGGAAATGTTTTCTTGTGATGTCACCCACTGTGCGCGTTTGCTTGCTGTTGCAGAGCCGGAATCTGGCAAATGGCTGAACGCTCTGCCTGTTTCTTCACTTGGAACCCTGATGTCGGACGAGTTTTCGCGTAGCAGTCGGCCTTCGAATCGGAGCAGCTATCTGCCGTCCGCACCTTTGCACGGACTGTCGTCTACCTGTGGACGAATACGGTCACCACGGCTTGTCCTGCAAAAAGAGCGCTGGGCATTTTCTTTGCCACACCGAACTGAACGAACTGATTCGGAGAAGTTTGGTTACCGCTAAAACGCCGGCTGTACTGGAACCGCTTGGAACTAATGACGAAGACGATCGCCGTCCGGACGGTGTGTCCCAAATGCCTTGGAAGAACGGTTTACGGCTAGCCTGGGACGTGACGTGTGTGGATACCGTCGCATTTTCCAACGTCATTAGCAGCAGCGTTAAGGCAGGAGAAGCGGCCCGAAAAGCAGAAGACGAAAAGCGGCGGAAATATGAATATTCAGCACCTGAGTACTATTTTGTTTCATTGGCTTTTGAAACTTTTGGCGTCGCTAGCCCTTCATGTATTAAGTTTTTGCGAGAATTACGCAGGCGGTTAAAGGATGCTACGGGAGAGCGACGCTCTTACGAGTTTCTGCTACAGCGTATTAGCATGGAAATATCTGTACAGCGGTGGAATGCGCTGTCTGTGACTTCAACCGTACCGCATTCTGATGGTTTTAGCGCTGTTTACTTTGCTTTTTGATGTTGATGTTAAAACTTTTGAACGATAAGCAAACCAATAAATTATGTAGCTTGTTAACCACATCAGGGCACCGAGCGAGCGCCAGTACCACTAGAAAATGGTATTGGATTTGTGGAATTTGAAAAGCGTGAAGTACGCTCTTCGTGGCGTCAGACAAATTTTATGCTCTAGACGAAGGCTTAAAAAGTAGCATCTCGCTAACGCTCGATGCAAATTATTTCAAAATGCACATTGCAAAAAGTCAAACCCTAGAGTTCGGTACGAGTAGCATTAAATACTGTCACAGTCAGTCGGAACCAGATAACAACTGGGTTCTTCTCAAGAAAAAGTCTAGCATACACTTACTCAAATGTTGGAGCCTACTTCGGCCTAGCGCCAGGGAGAGAGAGACTCAGCGCCAATCGCCAGAGAGAGATACCAAAGAGAGACTAGAGAGAGATCTAGCGCCAATCTACGAGTAGATTGTCAATGTCTTTTGAGGACATCTTTTGTCTTCCTTACAGTTCCGCTAGACACCGCTTTGCACGACTGACTCACGGTCTCACGCGGATAACCAATTTATTGTAGCACAAAAATATGTAATTCTGGACCTGTGGTTACAGTTTTATCGTTAACAAGAAAGTAACAGCACTGCAACCTGCGCCGGCAATTTCTTTTTCTTGGTAATGAATAAGCAACTCCAACTTCAGCACGGAACTGCTACCGGCGACACATAATATCTTTTACCTTCTGGCTCATTTATACAAGTGTTGCGCAAAAAGTTGTATAAGCGAATAAAAGCCAACAAATCAGCAAATGCCAGTCGTGTTTTTCGGAATTTTACTTGAGATGAATGTTGGCCCTAGATAAACTTTAGAAAAAGTAATCCTTCAAGAACGTTCTGTTTTACGCATGCTGCAAACAAGATCTTCGATTCAAGTGCTGGCGAGTTTATGCACACTTGTACCCATGCTGCTTTCACTAATATTAATACGCTTTTAAACATAACGGACTTAACGGTTTCTCCTTCTGCGAGTCCTACGTTGTTCGGAAATACAAACACTAAAGTACAAATTATGCAGCAGAAGAAAATGACATCGACATAGGTTTTGACAGTCGCAGATGTAATATATACGCATCGAGATCAACACATTTTCGGAATTCGTGGTATTGATCCGAGTTTGAGTTTACGTACTAAGTTTTACAACCCCCGTGAAAATGTATAAGTTTTTTTGTAACAATTTTTGAACAGCAGCTATACCTTTTTGTGCCGCAAAAGTTAGTGTAGAACTTACAATTCCCAACTTAATTTGGCAGTCGTTTTTAGAAGTTTTATTGTAAGTTCCCCAGTAACACTTGTAGGTAACAGTGCAGCACATTTCGGAGACTAAAGATACAGAAAACGTACTCAAAAAGTGCATAAAAATAAAACATCGCGTGCGCTTTAGGTATTCACGTAAGGTATCAAAAATATGCTAGTGGGTATCATAAATGCAAAACGCTAAATCGGACGTACATATTCCGCCGGTGGTAAAATAGCCAATAAAACATCATCGCGCCAAAGTTAACACTGATTTCGTAGGAAACGCTTAACCTTTGCGTGGAGTCGACTCCTTCCCATGATTGCGCAGGTAGTACAGCTTACGGCTGAAAGCGCGGATCAGCTCTGCTTCCTGGATCTTCAACTGTTTCCCGGCCGTAGCTGGATGATATCCATTGATGTAAGCTACGACCAAAAATTTTCTATGGTGATAATGTCATAACCGGTTTTTGAAATTTCAATTAATACCCATCAATTCGCCCATCAGATCTGTCCCCAGCGCAGATTTCAAGCCATAATGGTCTCCCCGAAAGATCCGGGTTGCCGTTTCTGTATTGCGGAAAAACATCACCGCAAGGTTGACACCGTCCATGAGGGCATTCTTTGGCTTTAAGTGGGCCTCGAAATTGATGAACTGCCCCTTCGGCAAATACACCCCGGATCCCGGATAGAGCTCCACCTTCTCTTTGGTTTTCAATCTCAGCTGCTGCCGACAGATCTCAGCCAATTCTCTTTGCTCTTCCATGATTGCATCTAAGTGAAACATCAAAAAAACTTCACGGGAAAAGGTCGACCTCATCCAATAAGTTATTTAGTAAAAATTATCGAAAAAAGACCATGCTTATCTGTGCAGCATCTGTATGAAAAAGCTGAAATAGGATATGCCGCACCTTTATGTTTCGCATTCCCAGCACTTTTTGTGCCTATATAAATATGATTTTGCCGGTTACAACTGTTAGCTAATTGTTTAATAAGTTCCTGTACCGCTAGCTTGCTTCTCCACTTTTGATGAGCCGCCACATCGCTCAGCGTCAAAATCTATGAATAAAAGAGATGCATTGAAAAATCGCGGCAAAAGCGAATGCTGAAAGTAATCAGAGCACCATATTTACATGCAAACAGTTCTGTTACCTTTCATCGGTGGAGTCGACTCCTTGCCGTAACCTGGGTAATCTGCTTCGTCACATTTGTCGGCTCCTAAATGATACGTTAACACCGTAATAGTCAAATGCGATTATTTGGCTCTTTAACGGGTAACCTACGCATAATCTTTTGAGGAAACAATTCTCGGGCCGCTATTGCTGGCAGTTTTGGCTTGCCCGTAGGTGGAGACAGCCTGTACCATGTATAGTTGTCACCATCACTTCCTGCCAAGAATGTACAGTACATGTTAATGGCTCGCAGATGTATTGCTGACTTGTGGCAGTGTTCAAGCGTTCTTACGCCATCTTGAGCTCACCATAGAAAAGGTCGACCTGCTGTACTACGAAGCAATCGGAACCACTTACCATCAAATTCCTCAAATTCCTGTCG